ATTAAATTGCAGTAAAGTAGCCAAATTGTCATTGTAGTTTCTATCCAAACTTTAAATATTAAGTAATGATAAGGTAAACTACAAATGAAACATATTAATATTCTGATAATATAGTAAACTAATATTTTACATAACTATCGAAGCACTAATTCTTTGCCAGAATATAAACCTTTGTAAAAATAACTATCTTAATAACATTTCTGATTGTAACAAAAAAACACAAGTAATTACATAGTACCCATGAATTAAATATTAATAAATCAAAAAACATACAAGTAAAAAAAGTTTATTAATTAATGTCATTCACATAAAGAAGAATATTTCCAGCTTTATTGTGAATAAGTTCATATGATTGAGCGGCAGTAAGTTTGGGACCCGAAGTAACTTGTATGCCAAATATATCTACAACACTCAAACCCTCTTTAGTATAAATAAATACAGGACCACCTAAATCTTCTATAACGGTTGGCATATCTGTAATTATCAAACGTTCAGATAGTCTTTTATTTTCATCCAAATAAAATCCATTAAAAGCTTTTATATTTCCACAAGTAACATGAGTACCAAACCCTGAATGGCATATGTGACCTCCAGGGATAGTTTCACTTTCTTTTTTAGTATCATGTATAATTAGCTCTTGATAAAGTTGATCTCTTATAGTTGGTAACCTTTTAATTTTGGACAGACCTGTCCACGGGATTTCAGCAAAATTGTATGGATTCGTTAAATTCGGGGGATCCATGGTACCCACAGCTCTCGTTTTACGCGTAGAAAGATTCGAATCCCATGGCAGATGAAAAAATGCTTTTCCTTTGGTAGTGGTATTTCCTTCAAAGCAATAATTTCTTTCGGTTATGAGAAAATTTCTGAAAGTATTATATTTAGTTCTTTTGCTAGAACGTACAAAAAAACCAGCCGAACATGTTTTTCTTTTTTTTTGAAATTCATGAAAAATACCATCACCAGCTCTGATTGTTACATTTATTTCTGCTGTAATATTTCGTTTATGTAGTTCCTCGCTTGGACCAGGATGTTTGGCATTTGTTGTTTTGTTAGGTGGACCCCGAAAGACTTCATTATTTCTTATATCAATATGAACATAATGGTCTTGTGGCAAAAATGCCTTTGCTATAGTAACCCAATTATTAAATTCAGTTGTCAATTCATCTAGGGATTTATTCACCCTATGAAATATCAGCAAATTTCTATGTGGATCCAGTGCAGGTAAATTTTCTATAGTAGGATCTTTTATATAGACATATAACTTATTCTCTGTAACATTTACATAAATTCCACCAAATGATGTTTCATTTATTAGTGTTTTTATGGATATTCCTAATCCGATTAAATAATCTTCTCTATGTCGGTACTGAAGCACTTGATCATCTGCAATATTCCACAATTTCGCCAACGGATGAGTCTGATTCTGAGCATGAACCACAGAAGAAATTTGTAATATGAAAATAAATAATAGTGACAAATAAATTTCTTTCATTTTTATATGATAATAAAATCTTATTAATGGAGTTAAAAGTGTGAGAATATAGTTTAGTTAAGTAGTTGAAGAATTTTATCTGAAATAATCAGTTTACAAATTTATTTGCCTCAAACAAGCTCCATAGGCACATATTATATACGGTTTCGATTATATTCATTTCAAAATTTATTTTATCTCAATCAAGCTTCGTAAGCAATTATTATATATGGTTGGCGTAATTTAAATCGGCAAAATTATTTTCCACTGACTAAAATATAAATAATTTAGTATGCCGAAAATATTTTAGTATGTCGAAAATATTTTAGTCTAGTGAAAATATTTTTGGATGTCTAAATTAGGCCATACAAACTTTTATAATCGGGTTCATATCCCATATGTAATTGCACGAAATTTCATTTGCTGTCGGTTATATTAAATACTAATAAAAGGTTTTTTACTATGATTCTTACTATATTAAAAAGGTTATAAGTCATATTAACCTTCGTTAAGTCCGTCATAAAAGTTATATAGGTTATTTAAGGTTATAGGTGTTACACCAATGGAGAGACTTTATAACTGCTAATTTAACTACAGGCCGTAAGCATTAAAGATAGGAAACCAATTATTTATTATTATGCACAAGATACTAAAAGTACTAAAAAATATAACCGATACAAGCAGTGTTGGAAATCTTATGTTCTCATGTTCTCATGAGAAAATTGCTTTAAATTTGAGAACATACACTGGCGATCATAAGTAGCGCAACAAAAAAAATTTTAGTTAGACTCATTATCTCACGCAATTCCGGGTGTATTTGTTAGTTTTTTTTTTTATTTTATTCACAAATAACAACATTTCATTAATAAAAAAAAATTTAAAAAATTTAATGAACAAAATTTTTCATGGGCACGAGCTTTATTTCAAATGCCGTGTTGCATTACTTTCGCTTGTTTTTACAGCAACATGTGGCTGTAAAACAAAAAAAAATTTTTTTACACATAAAAAAATATTTTTTCTATTTTTAATACTTTATGACCACTACTATCTTGTGTATTTATCTTGTGTCTTGTTAATATCCTGAATTTGATTTAGCAAGGTATAAATCAGATCAATGCAGGTACCAACTTTAGACTTCTGTAATGCCGCCCAGATCTTGTTTCAAAGATCTTTTCTGGTTGAAATTTGAACAAAAATATTGTTAAGCTAATAGTCAATCTAATTTATAAAAATTTAATAAGAATAAAAGTTAGAAAATAGAAATTCCAATCAAAAACCTTTGCTGAATCTTTATTAAATTGATGATCTATGTTTATTACAATATATTTGTCTTAACTATTTTACTAATGAAATCATATTTTGAAATAGCAAATTCGTGATTCCTAATGGTGACTATAAAATTTTTATAAAAAATTTTTTGACATAACTCATTACCCATTGTGCCATCGATCTTGGTAAGGCCATAAATATTATAAATATAATACAAAATTATACTTGTTTAGACCTATCCTAAATTTTAACTTAGATTTAATGTAGAAGCAAATCAATAAATTTTTTAAAATGCTTTTGAATAAAATTACTTATAATTCAGTATAAAAATTGTACTTTATAATTTGTTGAAGCAAGTTACTTTAGATAAGTTTTCAATAATCTAATTTTACATTTTTTTTTGTGAATTCAGGTAACATTTTTGACTGTATTTACATGGGTAAAATTTTCTTCACTTAATCACTAAATTTAAATTGTAATTTATAAATATAAAAAAAAAATTAAAATATTAATTCCTTTTTTTCAAATAAGACTATATTTCAATAGTAGTTTAAATAGTGACAAAAGGTGTTTTACTTTGAGATTCCTAGTTGGGTTGGTTTGCCTTAGCAGGTAAGCAACAAGCTCTTCACAAGCACAATATCCAGTCTCTTTTATTGGTATAAAAGGCCACAAAAAAACAAATATTGTGCATCTAACCTATCACCTTTGTGTATACTACTTTTATAACAAAGAAGAAACTTGGGCTCATTTGAACTATAGTTGTATGATTTTCTTTTTTATTAAAACTTTATCAGATATTTTACCATAGTACAGAGATTGCAAGAATTACAATGAATTTCTGTTCTGACATGCATTTATATAGTACAGTAAGTGTTATCTGATCTTTGCCAAAAATGAGCAAAATAATGCAACATGTGATTTGTGATAAATGCACAAATATCTTTATATTGGTAATAATAGCAACTACTAAAATTTTACTATTTAAAAAGGATACTATTTGTAAATAAAAAAAAAACTAACAAATATGCTCAGAATTGCGTAAGATAATATGAACTAACTAAATTTTTTTTTGTTACACTACTTATGATCATCAGTATATACAAAATTTAAGATGTTCTAAAATTTTTTTGAGAACAATGAGTTTGAAAATATGTTCTATATATATATATTTGTACAAAAAATAAAATTGCTTAGAGTATTAAGATAGAATTGATTAGTAAAATTTTGAGAATCATAATGTAATTACGAAAAATGATAAGATCTCAAACTTTTACTAATTAATTCTATCTTCATATTCTAAGTAACTTTGTTCTACAGTTAAAGCTTGACATAACGAATCTTTAAATCTAAGGGTTATAACTCAGTATAAAAATATTCGCAAATATGTGTAATAAATTTTAAAAAATTATTCGTTATATAACTATAGTGAATATTAGATTAAAATTCGGTATTAAAAAATATAATAAAAATATTTATTATTACGTATTTTTTATTTTATTTTATTTATTAATTGCCAAAGTGTATGTAGTAAGAACTTATGTTTGAGTAAAATAAATGTAATATTAGTTCCTGCAGTTTTTGTAATACGTAATATGTATTTAATAAAAAGTATCTTTTATACATAACTGATATTATTTTTAAAATTGAAAATTAGTGAGTATTAATGATAGTCTTTCAAAACCTGCATTCCTTCCCGAAATAATAGACTTCAATTGATATACCACTAGAATGATTTATATTTATGTCAGTGATTGCTATCAATATGAAACTAGAAAAGACATTCCTAGAATGGACCCGGCATTTACATATTTATCGTAAACCTAATTGTATGTAACATTAAAAAAA